GGTTTTCTGAAGGAATCCTGGCCAGGCAGAATTAAGTTGAGTTTCCAATTAACTTTCATTCATAAGGAGAGTTATAAGGAGAGTAAATACTCTCCATCCACTGCTTTTGAGAGGAGGTTCTCCTTATGGGAATACTCAACTCTGTGGTGCATCCTGAGATGTGTACATGTCGAAGACCCTATTCTGCAAGTACCACAGTATGGAAGAAAAGGAAGTGCGCGTATGGCGTTTAATGGTTCTAAACTCTGCTTTTCTCATCTATTCAACCTCAATTTCATAACTACATGGACTGGAAGGAGAGGAGAGGTCCCCTCGTGGAGCACCGAGCAGGTCCGGCTGCTGTGGGGACCTCGAGGCCCTGGATCCCCAGGGAGGCAGGTCTGGTCTTTATGGTGTGAGRGCAGCCCAGGACCTTCTTGACTAATGACCAACAAGGGCGGTGGCTCCTATCCTCTTTCATCCATCCAGAAATACGGTTATGTCTTATTATGACTCAGAAAACAGCATTGCTAATTTAGTGGGGAATTTACAATAAAACCCTTCCTGAAGCCGCGCACCTAAGGATTTATAAATTACATTAACAATTTGAATTACCGCAGTTAGAAAATAAAGCTGAGGTATGAACATTCCTACTTAGCTTTAAGAATCATTTTATTATTCGCATTAATTCAGCTTGCAAGCCTCGCCTGAACACTGTATTTTGGTGCCTCTTTTTTGCAGGAAACCAAAGTCCAAAATGGTCCCTACCCCCAGAAAATAAATTAAAAGAAAGAAAATATTCCACTGATACCAGGTAAGCAGAGGGAGATCATAGCTCTGGAATCCCAGCACAAGCACCCATATCTTGTGGATTGGATCGAAACTGGCTCCGGATGTTTTTTTTCCCACAGATTATAAAGTCAGAGGAATAATCCCAGTCATTTGCTGTGAGCTGCTGCAGAGCTATCGGAACCCTCTGGGTTAATTAATTATGAACAATTTTAATCGTGTTCATTAACAACTCTGCTGTTAATTAATAACATAAATATTTTTAGCAACCCAGCTGGCTTTCCCGTGGCTCTTACTTGGCTTTGAGAAAAAGGGGTTTTCTTGGGGATTGATGGATGATCCTTCCTGGACCCTGCGCAGGTCAGACCCCCATAAATACAGATCCGATTGACTTGCTGACCCTTAATAAGCAGCAACACRGGATAACATGGGAACGTTTCTCCTGGAGCCGGTCCTATAAACAGCGGCTTTGGCAGGCCAGTGAAGGCAGGCAGACCCGCATGATTTGTGCACTAATATTTTTGTTAATTCATCCGTTTGGCCTATGAAATAGGGTAGAAATTAGACCGCGTGGTATTTTGCAAATACCCTGGTGCTAATGTGACTATTTTAAGCATATGAAGGTAGCGCTTCACGGGTGCAGACCCGCTGCGAGCTGCCCGGTTCCGTTTGCCGCGGCACTAATGGGCTGCCCCGGGTGGCCCGCGCCGCGGCCCCACGTGCCAGCGTTGCTCTTCGGTTACCGACACCTCGTGATGCATCTCACCCGTGGAGATACGTCTCACGTGTCACTGAGTCATCCTGAAAGCCATTAGGCACCGTCTGCCCGTGTGTGAGAAGGTCTAAAATTACTCTCGCTGCTCCTTGCAAAGCCAAATGCATCTTATTGAAATTATTAGAGAAAAAGGGAAAAAAATATAAAAGATATGCTCTCTTTTTCATCTTATCCTTTATTGTTTTGATTTTCTTTTCAATGCTAACTCAAGCCAGTGCTGGACAAACGTGCTGTGTATTTAGGGCCGTCTTGCCCATGCTTCAGTTCAAAAATCAAAGGTGACTTTGTGCAGGAGCATTTAAATTTGGGGGCAAAACTCTATTCTTGAGCCTTATTTTTAGAAGCGAACTCTCCATCCATTGCCTCAAACAAAGGCACATTTTGATTTATTGTATCCTCATGAAGAGCGAGTTACAGGATTGAAAAAAAGGCATCATCCCCCAAGCCGAATCTAAGCAATTAAATCAGACTATTTTTCAGTCAGGAACGATATGCTTGGACAAGTGTAACTATGATTAGAGGCGGTAACAATGTATTAAAAAGTGTTATTTTCTTCAGATTTAAGTGAGGAGATCTAATTAATGATACTAAGCATTTTTTAAGATGCAAAATCTCTTCCTGCGCGGAGCCGAGGCAGGCTGGCCCCGCCGCGCGCCGGCTCAGTCATCTCCGTGCCACGCGGCATCAATGAGTTTTTCTCCGTAGATGCTCATTGCAGGTTGCTCCCCGTAATGACCTCAATTATACATGTCTTCGTGGTGAAATTATTACTGCCGTTGGCAGGCTGCAAATGACAGCAAGGAGAAGATTTTGCTGATAAAAGAGCCCAGCGAGCACTACCTGCGGGGACAGGGCTGCGAAGCAGGAGGGAAGGGCTCAACCTCTCGGTACTTTTAGCAAGAAAAGGAATTAGGGAGACTTTGTCTTCTCAGAGGTGTTGCAGAAATGGGACGTGAAGCATTGGGATGGCCTTGGATGGGTCAGGGCGATGCTCGGAGCCTGGCCGGGCGCCGCGTGTGGGAGCAATGCTCTTTGCAGCTGCCCATACACAAAGCTTGGATTTCCAAGGAGCTACCGAGCTTGGATTTCCAAGGAAGCATGGAATTGCTCAGTTTTAGGACCAGATTCTGTCCTGGTCTGTRCTCTGTGAATGCTACTCACATATTCTCTCCGATTTTGTGTACTTGCTAAAGATCCTTTTCCCTCCTGAAGTATTTTAAGATTGAAATGCATGGTTCAATGCTTAATTTAGAGGGTTCTGCATAAATTCCTTACGGTGACTGGAATGATTTGTGCACATCACCCCAGGTGCATCGGTGCATCCGAGCTCCTGAACTTCAGTGCAAGACCCTGGCAGCAACGAGACGTGACTCGAGGGTGACTAAMACCACCCATGAAGTCCTGTGTTAGTGGGAAGGTTTTCCGAGTTAGCACGCCGGTAGCCAGACCTGCTCAAACACAGGGCGTAGAGGTGTTTGGAGAGCACTTCGTGTTTTATTGCTGGAGCAATCTGTGCTATTTGCATGGTAGCACCTAAAAAGTCACCCCTTGGATTGATGTGGTTCTTCCAAGAGTGGCAACTATGCAAGGTGTCCTCTTAAGTAAAAAAAAAAAAAATGTATTTTTCATTAATGTACTTACAAAATGCAAAACCACAGCCCCCCCSCCGCTATCATTTGGAGAGTGAAGAGAAGTTTTAAATTTTCCTGCAACAAAACATGTGGCTGAAGAGGGAGCTGCTGGGAGCCCAGCGTGGCCCAGGCACTCGGAGCAGCAGGAGAAACCGCACAGGGAATTAAAGCAAATAGCAGTGGGAAGGAAAGAGCAGGTCTCCAGTAAATGGATGACCCTCTATTTCGTTTCTCCTCAAGTAAAGATGGTCCTCATTAGCCTTACTGCATGCTACGTTTTTTTTTTTTTTTTTTTTTTGTAATTATCCATTCTTTATCCTCACAAGTGTATTCCAAATATTTTATTCAAAAGAGGAGCTTGCTTTTATGCAGAAAATATTGATTTTTTGGTACATACGTGCTGTTTGCATGCTTACAGTGGAGGCTGTGGAAGAAGATGGTGGGATGTGGTATCGGTGTCCTGCAGAGCATCCCTGCTGTGTCCCTGTTTTCTCCCAGAGACATCCCAGGGCAGGGAGCAATGCCCTTTAGCAGCCCCAGCACACAGGACACACGATGTTGCATCAATTCTTGCACGCCTCAATCCACTCCTCATCTCCCGTAGTCAGTACAGTGGGTAGCAYACCAAATTCACTTAATTTTTTACACAAAAGAATTACAAGGCCCAAGCAGGTTTTGCACTGAAATATTCCCGACGAGCCAGTGCCTGGGTGAATCCTTGCAGGCTTCCGCAGGCCACCAACAGGCCTAGCAGATGTGTTCCTCAAGAGAGTCTAAGCAATTTTGCTGTTACAGAGCACGGAAACAGATGGAAAAAATGATGTTTGAAAAAACAGGATGCTTTTTTTTATTATTATTATTATTTTCATTTAGTGCATTTGCACAGCATAAACCAGAAAAAGGGTGCAAGATTTTCCCACCAASGTTTTTTTTAACTTATTAAGCAGAAGCACTCGTAGCATTTAAATCTTCCTTTTGCTTATAGCAAGGAGGTTTCAAGGCCTCCTTGTTTCAGAGCCAAAAAAAAAAAAAACCCAGCCATGGGAATGATAAAATTGTGCCTGCTGCAATTTTGACAATGTGTCCTGATTGCCCTATTGCTTGCTCACCCTTGCTGAAATGCCTAATAATGACTTATCTGCGGTGACAGCAGTTGCAGCATCAAATGTCTCACCTATCTGTACAGCCGCATATGGCAGAATATGCAGGCACGTCTTTAGGAGCAGTGGCCGGAGGAGAATGATGTGACACTGGTGTGGTTTCAAAGAAATAAAAAGCCCTGCTGCCTCAGGCATTTTTTTTTTCCTATGGTACATATAAATCGAGGTAACGGGATTTTTCACTTTAAATAAAGCATAGGAAAGCGTCTCAGTGCTTCGCTTAGAGGAACCTCTGTATCTCAGGTGCCACGTGTAGCTGTGTGTGGCAAAGGCGCTGCGAGTTTTCTTGTCTGGCGGCTTCCTAGTGTTTGGACGGTTTAGAATAAGGTTTATTTCTGTTTCAGCGGATATGTTCTTATCTTAATTGTGCTTTATCTGGATAGAACATGGAGAACTCTTGTGGCTTTGCAGAGGATCCCGGCAGGAGTCTCTAGACCCCAAATCAGGGTGCTTAAGACAGGAAAGCCCTGGRGCATCCTCCCCATCCCTTTGCTTTGGATCCTGCCACCCTGTTCACGAGGAATGATCCGGGGAGCTGGTGCTGGCTGCTGTGCTTGCGGTGGCTCCTCCCTGCCCTCCCGCCCAGGGAATATCCGCCCGCTTGGAGCAAAATCCCGCGGAGCAAAACCCCGCGGCGCTGGCGGGCAGCAGGGAGCGCGGGTGCTAATGCCGTCTGCTTGGTTGCCTTTTGCAGAGGTGGTTCAGCTGAGCYTGCCCGAGGAGCAGAGGGTCAGCGTCAGCACCGTCACCGTGGGCCTCAGCACCGTGCTCACGTGCGGCGTGCGCGGAGCCCTGCGGCCGCCCATCATCTGGAAGCGCAACGGGGTCGTCCTCAACTTCCTCGACTTGGAAGACATCAACGTGAGTCCCGAATCACAGAATGCTGAAGGTTGGAAGGGACCTCTAGAGATCWTCTAGTCCAATCCCTGCACGCACAGGGTCACCTAGAGCACGTGGCACAGGGCTGTGTCCAAGCACGTTGGGAAGATCTCCAGAGAAGGAGATCTTCACCCAGGAATCAGCTTGGGGATTTTCGGCTTTAGGGTGCTGATGGGTTTGAGGGAATGGTTTTATTTCCTTGTTGTTACGGAAAATGGAAGCTGGCATGATATTCGGTTTTTATATGAATTTGTCTTAAGGAGTGAAAGCGGAGTGGTGTAAGCAGCTGAGAGCACGGCTGCAAGAGCGTGGCGTTAGGACACCACGTCCCAGCTGGGAAATAACCTGGCAATTGCTTTGCACTGATACGTCATCCCTGGCTGCTCACTGACTCTGGCAGCCCGGGATCCACTGGGAGCCATCCCGGAAATCCCAGGGGAATGAGCTGCACAAACCTGGACTTGCCAGGTATCCCATTCCCTGGACAGCAGAACAGGTTCATCCAAGGGATGAAACGCTACACTTGTGGCTGGCAATGCAATCTCTACTGTATCTAACTCAAAATATATATATTTTTTTATTTTTCCTATTTCACCTGCCTTTCAGTGTATTCTCCTCTCATACCCCTCATAGTTTTGATGAGCAGGTTTAAAAACAGGATTATGCAACAGGGTGCAGCTGTCCCCTTGCAGGGGAGCTGGATCTCCAGCTTTAAGGGCTGAGCTGAGGTATGAGTCATAGTTTGCAGTAAAGACAATACCTAAATAATGGTATAAACCTGCTCATTTATTTAATAACATTTGATTATAGAGAAAGCAGAAAGTAGTGTACAGAAAATATGGTCTGTATTTCACTTCTCTTTGCATTAAAGTACCCAGTAAATCAGGTTTTATTTTAATTACACTACAGCAAGTGTTGATTTATATTTTTGTTCAGCTCTTGTTAATTTGATACCCACTCAGTTCTGTGTTGTTACAGTCAATAATATAGCTCCCTAAACCCTTGTCTATCCAGGACTGCTGAGATGTGAAAAATCTTTGCTCCACTCTTCTGCATTAATGCATGAAAATTACAGCACGTGGGACGGGCGCATTGCCCTGCAAGGCAGCTCGGTGTTGTCGACTACACTGCAGTAAGAGCATTTTGTGTGCTGCATATAGATGGTTAATGTACACACAAGATGTGTAATTGCACCCCTCGGAACAGCCCTGCCTTTCACCAAAGCAAGTATTACCCTCGCTGAACGCAAACCCTCGCTGTTTGCAACACTGCATTGACATGCAGCGTGGATCCCCGACACATCCCGCCCTAATGCTGGCCTGGGAATGTGAAGGAAATCCATGGAAAGCTGCCCAGAGAGGCTGCACAAACCAGGTTTTCGGCGGGTGTGCGGCACAGCAAAGCGCGTTGCTCACACAGCACCGTCCTGGGCAAAGACTCCTTGCAGGGGATCTGTTTCTTGACATGCGTGAGGTGTATGAGGATCACACGTGCTGTGGTGCAACAGCCTCGGCAGCTTTGTGCCAGGCGAGTGTCTACTGTCTTCTGCCACTTCTATTCTTTAGATAGACCTTGAACATGTATTTTTAGACTGAGACTTSTTGTTGAGTCATAGACTGGGCTGTTTTTTACAGTGAGATTCAACAGTTCTGCAATATAATTCTCACATAATATGGGGGGGGTAAGAGCTCGCCTTAGATTTTTTTCCGTTAAAAATTATTAAAATTCTATACGTTTATATTATCTTCCTGAAATCTTGGTGATGATCACATGAGTCTTTAAAACATATTGAAGGTTCACATGTGAGCCACACATAAAATGGTAGTGCAGGGACTGCAGTACAAACAGGGACTGCACGGGGATCCGATCCTTCATTTTGTGACTCCTACTATTTTAATCTATCAGGAATAAATTTTGAGGCTTAGATGCCACTTACTGTCTCCARTATCATCGGTCAAGTGAGTTTCTTGAATTCACAATTAATTCTTTTTTGTTTGTTATTATTGTTATTAAATGTTAAGAGGAAGGGYTATGTCCATGCCCGTAAAGTGACTGGTTTCTCAGTTCTTGAAGACACCTCTGGCCAGTCACATGCACCGCAGCAGCAGCAAACCCCTCTCGATCTGTTGGAGCTTCTCCTCTTCCTAATATACCAGTGAGAAACGATATCAAAGGGGCACTCGGAGATTTTAACAAGGAAGAGAAACAGGATTTATTCCTCAACATTAATGTTTCATGCGTCTGTTTATGATCCCTCTCACCTTGTCATAAAACACCTGGTATTGCACATCAACAGTTTCTTAAGCTAATAAACACCTCAGCACCTTTTTCGTCTTTAATTAAAACTATAAAGCTTTTTATGTGCCTTCTATATCACTGCCATCTGTATTCTTTTCTGGTCACCCCAGGTGACCCACGTTGGGGACACTGAACTTTTCCCTTTCCTCCTTCACCATGAGGAGTGCGCAGGGCTGTGGAGCTTGGCTGTGTCCCATTGCTCCCCATCAGGGAAGGGTTCCTGGGTGCTTGAAGCACTTGCTAATAGCAGGGGTGAAGGGATGGTCATCGTGAAGCTGTGACTTCCACGTGGAAACATTGCTCTAATTCCTGTCTCAGTGCAAAGATAGCATTTTGGAAGACTGGAACAGGATCTCCAAATGCTGTTTTGCATTTGGAAAATGCAATAGCAAATTGAAACCTTATTCCCTCACCAGACAAAGCCATTCCAACAATCCATGCCCAGGAGACATTGACCAAGTTGATTCTCATCACAAGAAGTACTTGAGATGCTGTTCTGGGTTCAGTCTGTTGGGTCAGCTGGATGTGCAAGCTCCATGTGCTTGGTGCAAGCTCCATGTGCTTGGGGGTTTGGGGTGTTGAGACATGTGAAAACCCAACCCAGCTGCACAGCTGGGCATGGGTGGCAGCAAACATCTCCAAGGCTCAGCCTCGGGTGGGGACACGAACTGGCATTAAGCGGTATCTATTTAAAGGCATTGGCAGCAGGAGAGTAAAGGCGGTTTGCTTCCTAATATACTTGAAGTCAGTTAATTAAATTACTTCAGTTTTCTTTTAGCATGCCTCAAGCAGAAACTCAATTGCATTTCTGCTTTTCACAATAAGGTTAGCAATTTTGCTAATTGGAAGTGCAACAGGAGATTAATTGCACCTTTTTCACTCGAAGAAAATCCTGCCTGCTCCTGGCGCGGTGGTAATCACGTGCGAACCTACAGGATATTCGCACTCTTGGAAAAATCCTCATATTATATTTCAATTAAACTCTTTCTCTTCTAAATACTAATGCTTATTCAGGAAATCAGTTGAAAATAGAAGCCTAATTCGGAAGAGAAAAGAGTCCTAAAAAGTCACTGAGTGCAGAAGAGCAAAGGCACCACAGGCAAGTCCTCTGCTGCCCCATTCTATTCTGAGCCAGGTTATTATCACGAGGCCAAGGGTGGTTCCAGACTCATGCTGGAAGGAGCAAAAACAGAGAGCAAAAACCTGCATAATCCTGCATTTACACAGAACTGAGAGCCTCAAGGTTATTACAATGCCTCGTTGTTGATGTGCCCYGTTTGAATCATTTTTTTAAGCAGTATCTTGATAGGCAACAAAGTATTAATCACTTTTTGTTGCTCTTTTAATCAGAAGCTTTCATAAACGACATATTAACATTTGTCTTATCTGTTAAGAACTCYGTTAATGAGTTGTCTCATAGCCCTTATAAAAGAGCCGTCTTCATGRCACATGTAATTAAATGATTTTTCCTGCAAACATTGAAGATTAATTTTTAGCGTCAAAGCATTATTTTCCATAAATATCATTTATCCATAATAAGCACCTTTGCATCTATACTGATAAAAAGTGATATCAACTTTCCTCCTGAAGAAAACGACAGTGAAGCTGAAGCTGATGAGATTGTGATTATAAATAGATGTGTGATTACAAATTGGGAAGTGGTTAAAATGTATTGCCTTTCAAAATAATATATGTTTGTTCCCAGGAACGTTCAGTATGTTTTCCCAAATACATAATTGCGAAGGCATTGCTCCACTGAAGTATAACAAACTCCTAACAGAGTCAAATGTATGGATACAGCACCCAGAGCACACTGTTTCACATGCCTTTTTATCCTCTCTACAGGTGCATATGGACATCTGTAAACAGAATTTATAAATGGAAGTTTATTCTTCAAAAGCATAGCAAAAACATGCAAACCACAGAAAAGAGAATATAAGCATAACAAAACAAATGTTACAGAAGAAAAGCAGATAAGAATGTGGTGGTTTAGCAGGTATCCTATGGGCAGCTAAGATGTAAATTCATAGATTATCTTTTGTTATTCACTTCACAGTAATCTGCACAGTTTAGCTCAAGTCTGGTTTAGGTCTTCAGTTCAAGAGCGTGCTTTCCAGTCCACATCATTCAAACAGAGGTTTCTGCATTTCTGCTGATGCCAGATGCAATGAAGTGAATTTGCTGTACAAAACAAATCCAAAGCCCTGCKGCAGGGACAGATGCAGGGCTCTAAAGTCCATTCCCTCCTGGTGGAAGGACATGGAGGAGTCCCAGCAGAGACGCTCGAGTCCTTCACACCTATTTTAGTGCTTGTCCTTCTGCTTGTTTGATGAAAAATCAATGCTTGTCCCTGGAAAGCACGCACCCAGGGGTTAACGCAGCGCGACGCAGCATTGGTTTGCTGCTGTCCCTTGTGTGCATCGGTTAGTTCATCTTGCAGAGGGCAAAAATAGAAGTCTCCAGTGAGAAGTCCATGTGCTRGATTTTGGAATAAATGTCTTGAGCRTTGCTTTCCCAAAGACCCCCTTTCCCAGCTTCCCAGTGTATTTTCRGCTTTGCATTACAGTCTTTATTGCGTTCATCAAGCAGCCCCTGAAAACAAACCCCTTACATTCTGTATTTGTTTTCTGTCTTAGTCTATTAGGCCAGCTGACAGTTGGACTCCTTTGGGAGGCTCATAAGCA